ATATAGGCCATTACTTTGCTGAGTGAAAATTGGTATCCTTGTATTTTGGGAATGAAATGCAGGAACTGCTGCTGCTTGGAACAGTGAAGCACTAGTGCAAGCTACCTGAATACTGGGAAATAGCTTTCATTTGAAATAGTTCTGAATAGTTAGCTGGGTGGTGCCTTCTTTATGAAGTGTGCCAGGCACACCCCAGGATAAAGGTTGAGCCAGGGATTACCTGAGAGCGTGTGCCCCCTGCAATTCCATCAGACAGGATGGCTGCCTGCAGAACAGGCACTGAGAGCTGACCAGAGTGCTCACTGCTGTCTTTGCTAGGCTGAGATGGTCAGGGAGCCAGCATGCAGGTTGGGGTGTTATGGCCCAGATGAGCAGGGAGCTAGACAGGTACAATCCTGCCTGGGGGTGCACTGGGTGCCGTGGTTGTTGGGCTGTCTGTGCCCTGTTTGATGCCAGTAACAGTGGAGGTACCATGGGGTCTGTCCTGGGGCTTGTCCTGTTTAACACCATTTTCAATGACCTGGAGGAGGCAACAGAAAACACTTCTGTGGGGTTTGCAGGTGACACCATACTGGGGGGACCAGCTGACAGGCAGGAGGGCAGGCTGGAGGAACAGGCCAGCATGGATGCTGTTAGGCATAGATGGGAACAATGCTGTGCTGCCTCATAAAAGCAGAGGATGTGATACAAAATGTACAGCTCCTTCTCAGCCTCCTCCAGCTGTCTTGTTTACAGTGCAGCTTTACTTGTTTGTTGTATTTTGTTTAATCTCTCTTTGCAAGTGATCTACTGGGCATTGACCAGTGCCAAGGGCAAGGAAGCATCACTCCACAGAACTATGCTTACTTCAGCTTTCAGTATGTTACTGTCTCCCTTCTTGTCCCTCAGGCCCTCATAAATCTCATAAAATCCTTTTCAGATTGAAATCCTACTCTTCCCAAGCTGTAACATGTTTTACAGCATGTATTTCTCTATAGTTATCTTGGACTCTTGTTGACAGTCTTTAGGTATCAGTTCCTTGGCTGGTAAATATCTTCCTTATTCTTAAATCTATCCACTTGCTTTTGTTCAGAGCAATGCATGGGGATAATAAATTGGCCCACAAGTGCCTGAAATGGCTTAGTTCTTTCTGTCATGCCAGTGTTTCATAATACTGAATCCTGGGAATGTCTTGAAGAAGCCAACAGCATCTTCCCCACTTGCACATCTCCCAGAAGAGCTGCAAGCTGCCTGGATTTCTCTAGTAAACTCACTCAATGGATGTCCTTCCATAAACAGTGTTCCAGTAGTTTAATAGATTTATTCCAGAATATGAAAATAAACAGTTGTTCCAAATGCCGGTTTTAAGACTTGCAAAATGGAACTATGTACATGCATAAGATGAGAGCATAAATCAGCTCAGTAAAACAGCTTTGTAAATATTTATGAGCACGGGGTTCCTCATTTCACACATTTTATTCCTTCTCTGTCCTCATCTTAAGTTTTCACTTGCTTTATTTTATGGCTGGTAGTTTGGGCTGAGTACCTGACATTGCTGAATTGCTGCCTGTTTTGCCTGGTATTGCACATACCACAATCCTAGACCTCTAGTGACTGCAGGTGAATGCATGATCTGTAGAAAGAAACACTCTTGCATGGAGGGGCATATTCTGAATTCTGATGGACCCATATTGTGTTGTGTGAAGTTTAGCAGGCACTGATGAGCTAAAGCACAGCCTGGAGTTTCCTGCTTGAGCTGCCACCCGTCATTTGGCTGCAGGTGAGGCAGGACCCACGTTTCTTCCTTGTGGTGGTATCAGAATGGAGCTGGTTATTCAGAAGGGTGAGGAGAGGAAGATTAAAAAGATGGTTGATAGGATGAAAGATAAAGGTGTGGAACGACAGAGATGTGAAGCAGCTGTGAAAGAACAGTGGCAAAAGAATCAGAGCTGTCAGGACACAGCAGAAATACTCTAATGGGGCCTACAGAGATGGGTTATCATCTCATGCAAAAATCTTTGTCTCCCTGGCACCTTCTCCTGTGGCCATGATCCTTCCCCACACATCCTGGCCTTCTGGTGGCACAGAGAGGAAATGACATTCTCACTCCTTCCTTTGCAGCAGTCACAGAGGAGAGCAGAAGGATGCAATCATATAGACATTTTCTTTTCAGTTTTATGAAGGTGTTCATATGCTCATTATTTCCATTTGTGTCCACGTTAGTGCTGGAATTTCCATTACTCTTCATTAATTCACACCAAAAGATAATCTGTATTTTCTCCCTATTTCACTAGTATCAGATAGCACCATGTTGATATAATAACCAGAAACAAATTCTAAAAATAAACCTACTGATAATTTCCAAGTGTTTTTATAACCAGACCCTTGAAGTTCCTGAGTGGTCAGTAGACTGAGATAAGTGCTATCATTTTTCTTCTCTCTTGTCTGCTGGCTTTTCAGCCTTTTTAACTGCAACCCACAAGGGGGCTGAGCAGGAGGTGCTTGTGGCAATTCAGGATGGATTATTCTTATTGAGGAATTGGCTTCTGCTGTTTCATGAGAGGCTTTGGCAGATCAAAAGCTGTTGCTGCTGAGATCCTGCCAGGCATGCTTTCCATGTATTTCTGTATGTCTTCACTGAAACTGCGTGGGATCAGTGGAATAGGGGAATTTGGGTATGAAAACATTTTTCATTATGTTTACACATCCTAATTAGAGATTTATAAGGACAGCCAGATATGCTGCCATTTAAACAATTACTTGTATTTAATTGTGTTTGCATTTTTATTAGGGAAATATAACAGAGAAAGATAACTTATTAATTTACATGCAGTCTTATCAGAAGATTTCTGTACATTGTACCAATTTACATCATTTAATGTCTTAGCATGCATTTAATCATATTCTTGCAAATTTAAGTGTCTTCCTGACTGCAGTGGTATCATTCATTAATAGTTACCCTGAACTCTGATGATCATAGATTTGGCATAAACCCAAAAAACTATTTTCTTCAAAAAGTAGATTTTGGAAAGCTTATTGGCAATTCTTCCTGAAGTTGTGACTCATTCTGTATTTTTAGACACTGCTCAAGCACAACTGCTGGTGTACTTGAGGAAAAAAAATGCTCGTTGATCAAGTAGGATGTTTGTCTCTGGTGAGCTGTGCTTAAGGCTTTTATTCTTTCATTTGCATAGTCTACAGTCACTGGCATTCCCCAGGGATCAGTACTGGGCCCATTCTTATCCAGTTTGTTTATCAGTGGCATAGAGGCCCCCTCAGGCAGTTTGCTGATGACACTGAACTGGGGGAGTGTCATGGATCACCTGAAGGCTCTGCTGCCATTCAGTGGGACCTTGATGGGCTGGAGAATTGGGCAGAGAGCAGCATAACAGGGCACAGCAAGGGAAAATCCTCCTGCATGTGGGGAGGAAAACCCCAAGTGCCAGCACAGACTGGGGACTGACCTACTGGAGAGAGCTCTGTGGAGAAGGCCCTGGGGTTCCTGTGGATGACAAGTTGTCCATGAGCCAGCAGTGCCCTTGTGGCCAGGAGGGCCAATGGTGTCCTGGGGACCATCAGGAAGAGTGGCCAGCAGGTTGAGGGAGATGATCCTGCCCTGGTGAGGCCACCTCTGGAACACTGTGTCCAGTTCTGGGCTCAACGCAAGAAAGACAAGGAGCTACTGGAAAGGGTCCAATATAGGCCACAAAGACAATGTGGGGTCTGGAGCATCTCCTGTGAGGAGAGACTGCAGGAGCTGGGCCTGTTCAGTCTGGAGAAGACTCAGAGGGGATCTCATTAATGCATTTAAACTTCTCAAAGGAGGGTGCCAATAGGATGGTGCCAGACTCTTTTCGGTGGTGCCCAGCGACAGGATGAGGAGCAATGGCCATAAACTAAAACATGAGGAAGAACTTCTTTCCATTGAAGCTGGCAGAGCACTGGAACAGGCCACCCAGGGAAGTCATGGATTCTCCATCTGAAGGCATTCAAAACCTACCTGGATGACTTCCTTTGTAACCTGCTCTAGGTGACCCTGCCTTGACAGGATGGTTGGACTGGATGATCTCCAGAGGTCTCTTCCAACCCTAACTATTATATGATTCTGTTATCATTAGTAAAAAAATAAATAAGGTCTTTTGTAAGTAACTTAACTTCCAACATGAGGTGTCCCTTCACCTCATGTTTCCTGATGGCAAGTTGCATCCATGGCTTTCTGCAGCCCCCAGGTTGCTTTTTCAAGATATAATGATCTGCTCATCCACAACAGGGCTGGGGTACAATCCACGTATGATGAGACAAGGGTCAGTGTAATTTGTAGAGTAGCCACCATAAACATTTCAAGAGCACCTTGAGAGGAATTAATGATGATACCACTCTCCATCTACTTCCTAGAAAAAAGAGAGCATCATTCTGTTTTTTTTAACAGAACCTCTGTTTCTTTGAAATTAATTGAGAACAGGAATGTATCCTCATAGTAGCAGATACCTTGTGTAGATGAACAAGCCAAGTCTGAGACGTTTCCTTGAATGTGCAGAAACAGTTCTTTTTATGCAACGGGGAGCGGCATACAAACCCTCAGAAGCAGTGGTCATGATGTTACATACCTGCTTTCACTGCAGTCCCACTCCTTCATCTTGGACAATCTAGCACTGCATTCCCTGATGAAGCTTCCTCTTAAAATTATGCCTCTCCAGAGACCTGGGATTGTCAGGGACCTCTGTTTGCAACACTAACTACAGTAAATGCTATTGTATTATCCAACAGTAGCAAATTAAATAATCCCACTCCCGTCACTTTCTAACAGGATAATGTTAAAGGCATTCCTCGGGGATGGAGAGTAATAATTTGCTAATTCCCCTCAGTATTTCATGCTTCTCAGTATTGCAGCTAATTTTCTCTGAGTACCTTATTAACATTCACAATGACTTTGCAGTCCCACCCTAATAGCTCTCTGCAGAGGCAGTGACTGTGAAGGTGAGAGCTGACAGTGACACATTTTCCTCCTTTTTCCTCTACAGACTGTATTATCCTGGTTTCCATCCACTGAGGGCTGTCCAGCTGATGCGAGTGGGCAAACTGCAGTATAGTCAAGGCATGGTTCCTCAGGCACTGGAAACCTTGAAACAGGTCAGTATGGTGAAATATTTTTTCTCTATCCCCCTCCCTTGCTTCCCCCAAAACTGCTGTGTGATTCCCCCATCTTGCCTTTGGATGCTCCTCACCACTTCTTGCAGCAGTGGTGTTTCCCCAGGCTGCAGCTGGGTGTGGTGATGGGTCACTGTTGCTCAGCACAGCATTTCAGGCACTGACATTCTCCAGCATCAGTCACAGCTAATTACAGTTTCATAGCTCAGAGGTGCCTGGATGAAAAATTACTATTAGTTCTGAAGAGATAAATTATCTCAGTGCTTCATATGTTCCTTATTCCCCTAGCAAAGTGATTCTGAGAACACTGAAAGTACAGGAACAGGAGGAGAGCTGCAGTTTCTACCCTTCTTATTCCCTATCAGGTTCTGTGATTTCAGGCTGGAAAACTTTGTCTTTAAATTGTGAGCCACACTGAAATCAACAGGCATGTCCCTTGATCCCTCATATTTCTTGTTGTTCATCATCTTTGATCTGGTTTTGCAGCTGTGCTTTGTTAGTTACATTTCAGCTTTAAGCCATCCCTCTTGTACCTGAGCTGACTTTTATATTCATTTCCTTGTACCTCAGGCTCTTATTTGTCCTGCTGTTATATTGCTGTTAGTATCATCTTAAGTATATTAAATAATCCCTTTCCATGTGCAACATGTCCTCAGGATGTAGAATCTTGCCTCCCATCTCAAGCCCTCAATCACTGCTGGGGTGCTTTGCTCCCCCTGGAAGATGTGCTGCCTCTAATTTCCCTCAAAAAGGTCTCATTCTCTTATGTTATTGATTGTCCTGTGATCAGCTTGCCCTGAAGACACTACATGCTCCATGTGGCTCCCCATCCTGGCTCTTGGCTCCCCTGCAGTTCCTGACACAGCTCCCCATTGCCTTTGCTGGGTGCTGCCAAAAGCCACCTGGCCCAGCTGCTTGCCTGTATCTGCTGGGCAGGAGCAGGACCAGCTCTGGTGCCAGTGTTGGAAAGAAGTGAAGAATTTGGCTCTACATTCCCTTCAATTCATGTCCATGATATATGAAGTGCTGTGTGGCAGCTGCTTGGGATAGAAGGGGATGGGTGTCTCACTGGAGGCGAGGGAGGGGTGCTGCTCCCCTCCTGCCCAGGTCCCCTATAAAGATAACATCAGTCATGACTTTCTAGGTGTTAGTATTTTGTACTTACCTTTTCTTCAACCCCCATATCTCTTAGGTGATTAATGATGCAAGCTGAATAATTTTCATATGTTGAAGTAATAAATTAGTATTTAGTATGATGCCACTCTTGCTAAGTCTTGGTATAACTTAAATCTTCACTTGAAATATTTTACTTGAATTATAGCCAATTCTGATCATTATAAAGCAGGCAGAAGAGTAATCAATTCTATTTTATGTATTATTCAGAAGTATGTCATATATCTGTCATGTGCCAGGTAATCCCTCTGCTCTTTCCCCCAAAATATTTATCATTTCCAAACATTCAGACTTCCCCTTTTAGCAGTGGAATGAGACTCGAGTCAGAGGAGCTTCTGTTTTCATTGACACTGCTACAATTATATCAACATGCATTGTTCTAATTGCATTTCTAATGTGATACTGCATTAGATTAAACTGGAGCAAATACCCCTAGAGACAAATGAATGCTGCTGGTCAGTGAAGGTGGACATTGCAATGGGGATTTATATGGTTTTGGTGAAGAAGCTGCCCATTGCAAGCCAGATTGCTACACTATGATCCCTTGGAAACTGAGCAATGCCTAACACAGAAACCTTTTCTAGGCTGTGACCTCCTCTTTCTCTGCAAAGGGACATTAAGGTGCTGCTTGTCCTTCTGTGTCCACTGTGTCAGTGAGCCTCTAATGGAGGCTCCATTGGTGCTCCACAAGGACACAGTGAGTGCTTTACAACCGAGGTGTAGAATCCTGTCGTGGCTTTGCCTACTCCCTATTCAGCCTCCCCTTTTTCACCCAAGTGTAGGAGAAGGAGAGGCTGTACTCCCACTCCCTGGGAGCACAGCTGAGAGGAGGAAGAACTTCTTGTCATCCTGTTTCTCCGTGTAACTTCTTCAGATGAGCTCTGAAACTGATTCACTTCCTTGCTTTCTACACCGGAACAAATTAGGGGAAGATATAATTCCCAGTTTGTTGTGACTAAAGGATGTGATTCCTAATATTAGTCAGATAATGTCCTAGAGTTATATGAGAACACAATTTGCCCCTTTGTGATTAGATGTGTCAGCAGAGCATGCCACATGCTCAGAGCAGAAACTCGATTACCTTCTCTGCTTCATTACTCTTCTTAATACACTCTGACACTGAATAGCAGCACCCTGTTGGAACCCTCGTCAGACTAATTTCACTCTGGCATTAGGAAGAAGGATATGGAAGGTGCAGAGGAATTGGGATCTGAGTGGAATTCACCTCACATATAAATCCTGTTTAATCAGGCACAGCCTCAGAGCTGCTGGGGATTGACAGCCTCTGCAGCAGATACATGCTCTGTTAAAATCAGGGTTTGGCTCTGCAGCCCAGCCCTCACTGCTGCTCTCTGAGCCACAAAAAATGAATCACTATCCTAAACACCTTGCTCTTTGGGCCCTATGGCTTTAGCTCTCTGCCCTGCAACCCTGAAGAAGGCTTAAATAATGTGGAGGGCTTTAAGTTGGCCATTAGAAAGAAATCACCCCCTAAACTTATATTAGGTCCTGCGGAATCTTATTTGCTAGATTTTGAAAGAGAAGATTTACAGAGAGGCAATACTCCTCTGGAATGAAAACTGAAGGTAGTATTTTACAACCAACATATTCTTCTTAAATTTATATACATATATATGAAAGATCTAATAGAGGACAGATTGAGTTATAGATCTGGAAAGCTTTTGTCAGCAAAACATAGGAACTGGAGCCCAGTCTGGAAAACAATTTGAAGTGCCTGGCATGGTCATGGGAGTACTTTTGTCCCCCATGAGCTGATGGGTACAGCTGTCTTGTCTCATGAACATCTACAACAGGTACTGTACGATTTCCCTTCTTATAGAATCCCCTGTTGTGGAGGCAAAAAGCACAGGAACTGGGGTAAAATCCTTCTCAGGTCTCACAGGAATACTGAAGAAATCCCTTCTCTAGGTGTTTGCTTCAAACACTGAGTTGTTAACCAGCTGTCATTGATGGTATTCCTCTGCCTGCTTTAACAACCTGTACTCTTCAATCAAGAGAGATGAAAAAGCACAGATATTCCCTCTGAAATACTAGCCTACACTTCCTGCCACTCTGGCACACGGCCACTTGCTTCCTGCTTTCCCCTGTGACAGAGCTGTGCCATCCTGCACCTGCCCAGGCTTCCCCACAGCCATGGCCATGGGCATCCTGTCCCATCCCCCTGCAAATCTGGCACAAACACCTGCACTGCTCCTCCTTTACACTCAGGGAGCAGCAGCCCTTCCTCTGCTCTAATGGGGTTTATATTCTTCAGGGTGTAGTGATGACACCGTGGCCTGTGTTGCCATTGTAGCTTTTCATAATTAGATTTGCTCTTTTAGCTGGGAGACACAGACCACACAGACCACACAAATCTGCTCAGCCTCAGCTCTGCTGGTGAGCTGTGGGATTGAGAGCAGGGGAGTGGGCAGAGAGCCCATCCACATGTTCCTGCTTCTGTCCAGTAAAACAATTCCTTGCACTGGAGCTGAAATTATCCCCAGTTTTGTACTGACCTTTGCCAAAACAGTTACATAGCATAATACCAGTTGGATTTAGGGTTTATTCAAGTCATTGCTGTTCTAACTTTGATGCAGCTGGTTCTGACTTGTACAGCAGTGTGTGAGATGGTACATTGCATAAAAATTATATCCTCCAAGGAAACAAAAGAATAAAGACTGAGTGCTTTTGTCTGCCATACTTATGAAAGAAAAGAAGTGGAAAGAAAAATGCTGGAGGTGGGAGAAAGGCAGCAATGGTAGCATTAACTCAAGATTAGGTTTGATATTAAGGATGATTGGTTTTTAATGGAGGTACATTTATACAGACATCTCTGGCTGTGCATCTCAGGGTGTCAGGGTCCAAGTCCATCACTATGAGCCTGATCTCTATCCTGTAGTGGGGCTGAAGATCCAGGTCAGCTGCCCCAGGACTGTCACTCAGATGGATCCAGATGCACGGCTCTTAGCATACATCATTCACAATAAATCCATCAGCTTTCTGGGACAGGGCATGCCAGCACTGTGCACCAATATGTCAGGATCCAGGGCCAATTCACCCAGCTACTTTGCTCTAGGGTGATCCTGTCCCCTTTTAGTTAGTCTGGGTGCAGCTGGATGTTACAAAATTTCATATTCCTGATTTTGTTTCACATTTCCTTGCCATTTCTAAAAGCAGTGAAAACACTTTTCAATCTTCTTTTTAACTGTGTAAATTTTATCATTTAGTAGTAGGGCACTGTGGTAGCTTAAAACATATTTGACTCTTTTTAAAGCTCCTTGCTCACTATGATTTGTTTTGACTGATATTTCAGCTTGTTTTTTCAATCTTGTGCTGCCTCCCTCTTTTAAGAATTAACAAATTTGACGCAAAAATAAACTGTGCTGGAATTTTCATATGCCTGCCAGTCTTCATAATTTGGAAGTAGGCTTTCATTCATTCATTCCTTCCCCAAAAATATATATTTACTTTTGTCTATTCAATTTAAATGAAGCCTCTTCCTCAACATTTCTTCTCCAAGAAGAAATGTTGCAATTCAAAGCCAATTTAGCTGAATTTTGTCAGCTACTGGACAAGGAACCCTTTGAAACATAGGCTGCATTTAGTTTTTTGCAATTATTTGGTTTAGGATGATGAAAAATCTCTGATCTTTTCTCTTGTCAGTACACTACTGGCTCCCTTGTTCTATCTTCAGAAGTGCTGAATCAGCTTCCATCTAGGACTTCCCTCCTTGCAGGAGGAATTTAATAGAAGGAAGAAGCAGAAATGCCATATGAAAAGTGATGATCCAAACAAGAGCTGGGCAAAGAGCATTTCACACATATGTGTGGCAGGAAATCAGCAACACTACAGGCAATATCAGCAAGCGTAAATTAGCCCAGCAGTAGAAGATGACAAACATACAGAGAAAACAGTCCCTGGCAAAAGCAGCACAGACCCATTCCCCTGCATGCCTTCTGACAGTGAAACTATTAATGTATTCATTTGTTTGATGCTATGTATAGTTGCTCCTGATAGAGTTAAGGTACTTTATTTCATGGGTTAAACATTAATCCATTTCTAGTTTTACAGTACTTTCAGGCTCCTAACATCACAGTCATGAACATCACAGTCATCTTTTAAATAATGTATCAAAACCTTGGGTGTTGTAGTTGACCAATCTTGAAACAGCCTTTATGTCTCAGTGGAAAATTCTCTCTCTCTGCTATTCCATACACCCAGTTGTGCAACATATTTGTGGGTTTTAACACCTAGGATGTGTCAATGTGTGTCAATGTGTCAATGCCTCCTTCTTTGTCAGGAACAAATCACCATGCACTTTAGGATGCTTCACTCCTATTTCAGCCATGCCATGCACTCAAGCCCCCAGGTGCCAGCTACTTGAGGACCAGTTCTTGCATCCCACCCTGCTCCAGGGTCCAGCCCCTTTGCATGGTCAGCACAATGACTAACATGTCCCTTTCTTTCTGTTCTTTCCTAAAGGCCTATAATATTATGAAGGTGACCCATGGGACAGATCACAGCCTGATGAAAGCCTTGATGGAGATAAAGGAAGAGTGTGAGGCCATGATGAGAATACAGTGAAGATAATCTCTAGTCTGGAAAACAAAGTATTCGAGGACAAAGATCATGTTTTTTATTTAATTGTGAAGCTTCTCAATGGTTTTAGTGTCTTTTCTTTAGGTCCTATTTGCTTTACAAAAAGGTTCAATGTTAGTTTTGCTGTATGGTCTGAATTGAGTTGGTGTTTGGCAGAATTCCTGTAATTTTCAGAGGATTTTTTTTTGTCATCAACCATCAGTCTTATTGACAATAACTAACAATACCTAATTATTTGATTATAAGTATTGGGAAATGCATCATGAAAGTCTTCATCAGTTACAAAGTGATCTAATTCCATTGATATCAGCAGTCAATTTTTTATATCAGTTTATGCCAGCAATTAGGAATCTCTTGTCAGACACATTAGAAATTAGGAGAATATACTTTTTCGCTTTGCCTTGCCCTTTGGTATGGTTTCCAAAAGCCTGATCTAGTGCTCTTTGACATCAAATAAGTTTCCCAATATTTTATATGGGATTTTCTTCCCTCCCAATAGATCTGCAGGGCTTTGTCTGTCTTCTTCCATTTCATGTCTTATAATATTGAATACTAAAATGGATTAAATAAAAAAATTTATCATAGGAAATTGCTTACTCTGCTTTTTCCCCATTTTACCATCTTCAAGAGTTTCTCACTTCATAACAATTGAAAAACATATATTTGGACCTGTGAGCTCAGTGCTATGGCTTCTAGACCTTTCTGAGTCTGTGGGGTTTGAATGTCACATCCCCAAACAGAGAAGCCCAGAAACCTACAGATGAACATTGTCATCCCTGGGGAAGACAAGGATGTCTTGGAAAGCACAGACACACTATTTCCCCATGCTCAACAGCAAGAGACTTGTTCTTGCCAGACCTGTTTACTTCCATTTTTAACACAGAAACAAATATTAACAAAAGCCAATATTTATGAGGGACATTGAAACTTAAATAATTTAAGGCCTTTGAAAGTATTGCTTCAGGTGTGTCACTCCTCTAACAATTTATTGCTGCTACTCCAGCCATGACTGTTACTTCATTAATCCATCGTTGTTGTAAAGTCAGGCTTTTTTCACACCAGTAACCTGACACCATTAATTATTACAAGATGAGAACACATTTAAAAAGAAAATGAACACTCTGGGCGTAATTTACAGCCATGGCACACGAATGCCAGGGCTGAGGAAGATATCTCCTTTCAAGACGTTTGAATTTGTTCCAGTGTTTGGAGCGTTCACTTGCCCGGCAGTAATGTGCAGGCAATAACCTCTGAAATGCACTGCATTTCTGGAGTACATAGCATGGCTTGCTGCCAGAGGCCAGGTCCTATCAGCCACCCAAGAAGTAATCCTCACAGAAATTCACTGCTTGGTTGGGTCTTCCTGCTATTATAAAAAGGAAATTGTCTGGAGGAAAAGGTCAGACCTTTGCACTTATTGGGAGTTCTGACAAAGTACTGATGGACAACCAGTCTTCACAGCCTGTTTTCTGGTTTTAAATGGGCACATGCATATTGGAATTTACATGATTTCTGTGAAAAGATCATGCTTATGTTATCTCTTGTTTACATATCTGGTACTAAGGTTTGCAAATGGAGGGGACTTCAGAATCTAAGGTCAGGAGATGCATTAGTTTGTGCAGCATATCCTGGGAGACAGCCCAGAAGCCCTCAGGCATGCAGACACATCTGCAGGTATGAACTGCTGCACTGTTTGCTGGGGCTTCTGCTACAAGGACACCTCAACAGTCCAAGGTAGGAGCTGGGGGAAAGGCAGAGTTGCCTGCTGTTGTATGAGAACAGCTACTTTACAGCAAACTGAAACCTCTGCCTGTGCTGGGGCCTTCTATCCAGCAGTGGTCTTCTCTGAGAAGACACTTAGAGAAAAGGTGCAAAGGAAACATTCAATGGCAGCCTGATGGGGAGCAGAGAAGGAGCGTGCTGTTGGCTGTGGAGTGTCACAGCAGCAGCTGTGCTGCCATGAGGGCAGAGCTGTTGGAAATCCATCCACAGCCCAATGCTCAATGCAAGAAACTGAATGGGCACCAGGATCCTCAGTATGGGGGCATAACCCATGCTTTACATTCATTACTGTTGATGCAAAACTTCTTTCAGCTTGCTCAAGGCAAGAGTCACATTTTCTGGTTGTTTTCTGTCATTTACTGAGCAATTCCCCTTGGAGATTCCCATGCACTAACACCACCAGCAGGGCTGCAGGGGAGGTTGTTGTGGGCAGATTTTTTTTCCTCCTGGTGGTCCTGCTCCAGTCTATTTTCTGCAGAGAATGCTGGTCTGTGGAGGGATTTACCTGAATGCATCCTTTGAAAGTGCAGCAGCAGTCAAGGGTGCCAGGGAGGAGGCAACATTAGATAAGCACTCATTTCAAATCAAGTAATGTTATCTTTGCACAGACATCATGTTTCAGTTTTCATGAATAATATCTGTCAAATTTTTCAGGTGCTGGTATTAGTGGTAAGATAAAGATGCTAAAGTCAGAAAGAGGCAGACTGCAACATTATCTGAAATTATCTGGCAGGTTTGCTGCTTGCTTCCCACAGGTTGGAGGCTTTTCTTTTGGAAAGCAGTGGTTACTTGAGTTCACCTCAAGTTTTAGGAATGCATTTTGAGTTACTTGTGTTTTGATATTCTCCCTTAAATTAGTCCAGGAAAAACAATGTTAGATTGCACTCAGAGGGAGCAGAATCACACTATGTGTTTGGAAGAAAAGCAGTAGCAGAACACAGGGAAAAAAACATGGGGAATGATACAGCTTTGCTAAGAATAACTGATTACAGTTGAACAGAACATTTGTCTTAAACAAAAATAAATGCTCCCTAAACTCTGTTATTTCTTTAAGCATGGCATAATTCTCTGTATCCATGCCCCTCAAGGGTGTTGACCTGAAGTTGGAAGAAAAAACTCTCCAAGACCTTGGCAAACAGACTATTATCCAGTGCATAGTACAGGTAGTAGAAAGTAAAAGAAAAGCAATGAGGGAAAATGCAGTAAACCAGTTTTTTAGAGCTTTGACCTCTTTGAGTCTATCAACCTGTGTGTGAAGTCTATCGTGCATGGGTTTATGCCAAGAAAACTGCCCCTGAAAAAAAACTGAGCCTTTTTTCTGCTTCTCATTGTAACCCTCTTCCCTGATAGCTAGGTTTTTAAATGAGCCTTTCTTAGACTTGTTAGTTTTTTACAGAGCATGTTTATGAAATACAGAGGCTATTTCCCCACACAGTATATTTCAAGTAGTCCCTGGCCACTGCAAAGCTCTTAATGAACAGAGTTCCATTTTTCACAGAGGTTGTGCCAATTATGAGGATTTTTCCTAAAACAGAATTAAACCTCCCATAAGACAAGAAAAAGGAGGAAGGTCTTACAATTATGGACATGGAGTTCTGGCGTGGCTTCCCTGCTGCACCAGAAATTGTGTCTGACCTTGGGCAAATCAGACAGGGTTAGATATCCATATGTGAGTTTCCTTATTGTTGATCCTTGGAAAATAATGAAAAGAGGGGAAGGGAAGGGAAGGGAAGGGAAGGGAAGGGAAGGGAAGGGAAGGGAAGGGAAGGGAAGGGAAGGGAAGGGAAGGGAAGGGAAGGGAAGGGAAGGGAAGGGAAGGGAAGGGAAGGGAAGGGAAGGGAAGGGAAGGGAAGGGAAGGGAAGGGAAGGGAAGGGAAGGGAGAAAAAAAAGAAAAAAGAGAAGAGAAGAGAGGAGAGGAGAGGAGAGGAGAGGAGAGGAGAGGAGAGGAGAAGAGAAGAGAAGAGAAGAGAAGAGAAGAGAAGAGAAGAGAAGAGAAGAGAAGAGAAGAGAAGAGAAGAGAAGAGAAGAGAAGAGAAGAGAAGAGAAGAGAAGAGAAGAGAAGAGAAGAGAAGAGAAGAGAAGAGAAGAGAAAAAGAAACTGGCCATGCCTCTTTCAATAACTCTGCCTCACATGAATATGTTCAGTTTGGTGTAGGTGTATTGTCCAGTTTGTCAGAGCTGTAGCAACACAGCAGTGTCTGTGTTACAGCCCTGCCACTGCTGCCTGTGGGTGGCACAGGTGGGAATGGCATCACTGTAGTTGTCATAACTGCAGGTATTACTCTGTGAGAGTTCCCCCACAACTGAGTGCTGCTCCTGTCTATGCTGTACCTCCTCCAAATAGACAAAGCTTTGTTTCCACCCATGGAGCTTCAACAACATCTAAAGAATCATCAAAAAATCCAAAGCCAATGCTTTTCTTTATTTCAAACCTAGGCCATGTTACAGTTCCTCTTTTCCTTTTCTCTTTTATTCTTATTCAGATTACTATTTTCTCTTTCCTTTCAATGTACATTTTTCCAAACAAAACTCTTTTCCTTTTTTACACATTTAATTTGCCTGAAAATATATTTGTTATGGTTCTTTTTTAAAGGGCACCCTACAAGAACATCAAAGTGTGAATTTTCCCTGCCCTGAGCAAAAGGAGTGCACCTTACCTGAAAGTCTGTGGTCTGCAATTCTTGCCATTTAGCACAATGGTTTATGTTTATCCCCACAGCAGTGATGTGTAAGCCAGGCCTATGTCATCCCAGTTAATATTTCCTGGGGAAAGCTCAATGTTTTTATTTGCTCTGCACTTCTGATCAACATGGACAAATCAATTCTAACTCCATCATTTTTTAGACTTTTTGTAGGTTTTAATAAGAACCTTAGAGATTCCCTCCCCCATATGAAAGAATAATTCAGGCTTAGTAATTAGGCTTCATACAGTCACTGCTCATACCAAGGAACCTAACAGGTTCTTTATAGTTCCCAGGAGACCAATTAACCTTCTTTTAAACATATCTCTATATAGCCACTGAGACAGGCACACACAGAAATGCATACACACAACAAGCTTTTCAGCAGTCTCAGATGCTCCAGCTCCTTGTTAACCAAATTCTGATGGGGTTTATGGCAGGAGGGCAGGGCTGAAGCATCCTGCCCAAGTTCATTTTAACTCTAAAGATGACTAAATCAGGACAGACCACAATTTCTTCTAATTTCCTTGCCCCCAAGACAAGAGGTAGAGAATAATCACACAGCCTCTTCTATGCCTTAAATTCCCTTCCATCTCTTGGGGAGGGGCAGGCACCATTTGCTGGTCCTGTTACCTGCTCCCTAAGTTACCAGCTAAGAAACCTGCTCTCCCATCTCTGTTTCAGTTAAGGGCTGGTCTAGTGGGGCTGACAAGCTGAGGAAAGAGCAGTGATTTCTTCCTCCGCCCCTCCAATTCAGCAGCTCTGATTCCCAGTCCCAGAGGCTCTGAGTAGGAAGGTGGCAAATTTACATATGTCTTGAAGGAAAACTGCACTTTAAATCACAGGTGATCCCTCTTGACAATTCCACTTGACTTTCAGAGCAAGAACCAGGAGACAGTAATAGAGAAGGGTGTCTGATGAGAAAATTAGCAGAGCACCACTCTTCCCCTCCCCCAGGCCCTGTGCACTGCTATGAGCAGTGCCTATTTACTCTTAATGAAGCTCCTTTTAATGAAGTATTTCTTGTGCTGTCTTCCTGTTCCTGCCTCTCCTTGTGGTGCTGAGAATCCCATGATAAAACAGGTAGAGAAGAGGTCTGGCCTGATCCTCCCTGTTCTGTCCCTT